ATATAATAACTAAAATAATTATACTACTAATTTCTATTGGTTTGTTGAAAGCAACAGTTAATGTGTAATTGTGTGCATGCTTATTTCTGATTATCTAAGTAAACAGTTTGAAGATAACAATATGAAATATAACAGCCATTGTTAATTTCCTATCACCTTATTTTGAAGTTCTGTATCATTTGTATTGGTGTTTTGTTGTTTTGTTAATGTCTTTGTTTTTATTTTGTTTTTTTCTCTCTAAAATAAAGAAAGTTGTCGCTGCTGTTGTTATTGAATTGTCAAGTTGTCATTCTTCATAAACAAAGAAGCTTCATATTCTCCATGTGTCTTCCATGAACATGCATGTCTATAATTATGCCTCTATTATAGAGCTTAGAAAACTAAGCTTCAGAGAGGTTATTGTTCAGAAGATGACACAGGAACCAGGCATTCTGATTCATTCTAATTCAGTGATCTTCCCAGTTAGTTCCTTCTTTGATTTCTTCCACCACCATGATGGATTTGGGAGGAGATTGGGGACAAAGGATGGTTTGGTGGTAGAAATGCATAAATAAGGAAAGAAAATAAATTTGAGTTTGGCAAGTCTCTTTATAGTGTATCTCAAAAAAGTGTCCAATACTTTTTATTATTATAAAAATAAAAAAACAGCAATACAGTAACAACAACATAGACAAAAACAAAACAAAGTGAAAACAATAAAAATGATACAGGATTTCAAAACAAAATAGTAGGAATCAACAGTGGTTGCAATACATATTATGCTGTTATAAAATTAATATACACCTTAATGCTTACATTTTTTAAGCAATTTTGCATGCTTATATCTAGTAATCTGAACAGCTAACTTGAAGACAACAGTATGTAACAGAACAATCATTGTTGAGTACATACCATCTCATTTAGTGAAGCTCTGTAACATTTCTAATGTTTTTTAAATTAATTTTTATTCTTTTTAATTGTTTGATCAATCTTGCATTCTTACATCTGGTAATCTGTGCAACTTCTTTGAAGATAACAATATGCAATGTAACCACCATTGTTAATTTCCTATCATCTTGTTTTGAAATTTGTACTTTTTTGTGCTGTTTTGTTTTTGTCTTTTTTGTTGTCATTTTATTATTGTTTTTTCTCTTTAAAATAAGAAAAAGTAATATACAAAGAATATCTATTGAGGACCTTGTGGAAAATGAATTTTATCTGTTTATTCCTTTGAAATTTATATTGTTTCCATTCTTCACGTCAGAAGTATTATTCAAAGTTATAAACTTGTAAAAGAAATCTTTTAGTTTCTAAGATTAATTTCAAGTATATAATATAACTATATTTATAATAAATTATGTTTGCACATTTCATATTATTAAATTAACAAATTTATAATGCTTTACTTTACTACAAATAGTTACAGACTCTTTAAAACACAGGTGCTGCTACTGTTCTATTTTTTTGTTTGTTTCTCACTTACTACTCTTTAAAATAAAATTAAAAAAATACAGTTAGGATCACAAAAGGCCCTGTTTATGTGTTTAGAGAATGTAAATTACTGTGGATCAGAGAGTATGTTTTCATTGCTTCCAGATGTCTCATTAAGAGTCGACCTTTGTGAGCAAAATTTTACAATATGATTTTGCCTTCACTCTTGCAAAACCTTAACAGTATTGATTAAAACAAGTCCATTTCCATTACCAGTCATCCAAAAGGCAGTCCTACTCTGATTTCTCTTCAGATTGTATAAATCTTTCACCTTTTACTAAAAGGCAGTCAAACACTAATATCTGACATTTGTATAAGTCTCTGTACTCTAATTTTTTAATAAATCATTAAAAAAGATAACCTCTGAAAGTACACATTAGCTTAACAAGTAGAAATTATAACATTACTTTTGGTTCTCCTAACATATATTTTAGTGATTATGCTTTAGCAATTCACTAAGTGCATTTTCCATACCTTGTCTGAACTCAAATATCTGTCATATCCTTTCTCAACCTTCACTTTTTATTCTGAGATCCACTGAATTACATATTTTCCCATTGATGAAAAGCTTAAGATTTAAACATGAAGATAGAGGTTTCTCCATATATTGAAAACTGCAATAAGATATTTTTTCATTTTCTTCCACTTCTTTCTTAAACTTCTTATTGTATCCCATAGCTCACATAGACTACACACTGCTTTAGGACCATCTTCGCAGAAAGCAGTAAACATACAAATCAAAAATGTTATTTTCATCCAAATATTGATTTTTATTTCGCTACTTAACTGATAGACCTCTCACATATCTTTATACGATATACTTATCATTGTTCAATGTACTCTGAGCCTAACTGTAGTAATCTCTAAAATATGCACTTTTGAAACATTAAATCCTATTGAACATTTAGTTTCTTTTCAGGTCAAACTAGCTATGTTTAAGACAGAAAAAGATGAATAACTAATTCTTCATTTGTTTGGGGACAGGCCACCATTTATAAAGCAAACAGACAAATCACTTCAAACAGAGAGGATACTGAAACCAAGTGGTGTACTTCTTCAATCGATACCCCATGACCTTTCAAGATGAAAGGATAATAGTCATCCACCCAAAGAACAGGGAGAAAAGTTCTATGTGCTGTTTATGAGACTGCGAGGTCACTTGCTTAGGCTGAAAACAGGGTACAATAGAAACTGCAGAAAACACTAGGGAGAAGAATCGTGGCTGCATATTTTTCTAAGCTTCCCATTCACTGCCAGTTTTCTCTTTTAATAAGCCCCTCTGTTCCCCAAACTAAGAACACATTCTGTTTATTGTGTGGCTGAAATACCCTTCCCCTTATGTTCAGCTGCCTATCTATGCCCTCTTTAGAGCGCAAGCAGTGGTCTAAATCAAGAGCCCAACTGGCACGTCTAACTCACTCAGCGTTCTCGTGATCGTATGACCGAGCTTAGAGAATTCGAGGGAGGTCCTGAAAAACAAAGCAGGATATTATTTCCAGTGAAGTCTTGTGGCTATGTGCACCTCTGTTGTGAGGACAATTACAGTCTTTGTTTCTCTTCTGATCCTGAGAATCAGCTTGACTGTCCCTTTGAAAAAATTTAAAGGATTTCCCATAGCCTTTGACTTAGAGTATGTATGAAATAATAAAACTCTCTCTTTAACCCTCCAGAACATATGTTTTTAGGGAAAAAAGACGGACTTTTCTAATCCACTGGTCACAGTTTGTTGTGTGTCCAAACAAAGTAATATTGTGATGATAAAACCTTGATTTTAAAGTCATGAAGTAACTTAAATATAATGTTTGTGTTTTAAATATATCAACTGAAGTGAAAATTTGGTATTCTTGAGCCCAAATTCTTGGTTCAATGTTTTACTTGCCCATTATACTTCTCTTTACAAGTTCCTTTGCTCACATTTTGAAAGAAATCAGAATTCTGTTCAAAGAATTTAAAAGAAGAATTTTTTGAAACTTCAAATTACAGCAAATTTTCTCAGAGTTAAGTGACATGTACCAGAAGATATAATTCTATGAAAATTTAATGCTACTGCAGGTTGTAACATATATACAATTACTGCTTTTATTTTAAAAATGAATATATCTTATTCAGTGACTATCAGTGTTAAAGGGAAACTGTGAGTATGAAATATTACTAACTTATTTTATAGATGAGGTTTGACAATGTGTTTAGTCATGATGAAAGGTCATGAATTCAATAATTGATACGTGGTTCAGTACTATTACCCATTCTCCCTTCTCTTGTGCCTTAGAGTACTCGTTACAAATGCAGAGTAAAAATCCCTATGTCTTCATAAATTGTGTGGAGCGGTGACGGATTTCTACCTCATAGTCATGTGTTCTACCTCCATCTTGTAAAATGAAGAGAAAACTATTTCATTTTCCACAAAACCATGCAGCTGCAGGGAGGAAAAAGGTCGAAGCTTCTAAGTTCCCAAGATTTTCTTCTATGATTGCCTCAAGCCAAAGGTCTTCAGCATGGATTTGATAGTGGTATTGTAAAATTAACGATGGCTTTTTTAGATATTGTGTTTAATTTTGAAACGACACTTCCTGAGGGAAGTATAATAAAAATTGTTTACCTTAAAATAGCTTTTAATTGTACTTTGAATCTTCAGTACTCTACATGTACAAGAAACTTGGAAGCAAATACTGTTGTTTACTTTAAAGTTTATGGCACTTGATATCTGAGATACTAGAATAGGCAGAGCAGGCTTTGCTAATATTGATTTACTTTAACTCAGAGTTGTTCACATACATATAAATGTAACTCAAGCGAATATATTGTAATAGACCAGACTTGTGAAGAACTTTATGACTGCACATGTAAATCAAATCATTTTCTTTTTAATTTCTAAACAATGGGCACTAGACACTGACATCTTGGATAATAGCTAGACCAAAGCACTGTATTCTTAAACATAAAAATAAATAACAGAATAATCTTTGTGAAGACCATAAATAAGGGTCAGTATTACTCTTCCCAAGTTCAAGTAATATTTTTAGAAAATGAAGGGATTGAATTAGCTAATTCATTGCTAATGATCTATCTACTTCATCAAATGTGATTTTATTAAAAGTAAAGGAATAGTAAAGTATTTCTAGTTATACAAATTGCTTGTGCTTGTTCTCAAAATAATTTTTTAAAATGGCATAAAGTGGAACTGGAAGAAAATGACAAAACACATTTATTTCATTGAGCCCTGGAGTCAGACTTTGCTCTGTAACCACAATTAGTGTAATAAATATTCAAAAATTAAGAACACTACATTTAAAAATCATGCATTTAGAACCCTTATGTTTATCAGTGTGAGACTTTAATGAGAAAAAATATTTTCTGTTCAAGAATAAAATGTTCTAATAATTAAGGTAAGATATACAAACATGTATTCCACTTATCAGAGAGAAACAAACCATAGCCTGCAGACACATATAGACTGTGATATGTTTTTCAAATAAGGATTTATTGGAATACAATCAACCTTGTTTGTTCACATCTTGCCTATGGGCATTTTTCAGATACAATGGACAAGTTGAATATTGCAACAGACATTGTGTGGCTTTCAAAGCTTAAAATATTCACTATCTGGCCCTTTAGAGAAGAATGTTGACATTTGCCATATATTAAAGCAGAGGAGGGAAATTTCTTGCAATTAAGGTTAAGATTGTAAAATAAAGAAAATTTTATCTGAGTTTTTATGATTGGAAAATGCAGAACTTGCACATGAGGGAATCAATAGTAGTAACATCATAGAAAAGAGTTTGAAGGGACTTGTTTCAAAATTGTGCTTATTTAGAAATAATACCTGCTAGTCATTAGTACTAATACTATTAAAGTGTATAACAACACGCCTTTAAATCTATTTATATGCTATATCATTGATTACACTGCTTCAATAAACTTTTCAACTTCAAACTATTTGAACTGTACAGTATTATTGTGAAAGTAGAGTTTCTAAATACCCCAAACCTGGTTCCTACATTATTTCTACATAGAATAGTATGATACATTTGTCATTTATTGAAATATGATCAATGAAATATTGTTAATGCATAACTATTAAATGCACTCTTTACGTTTTATATTGCTTTCATCTGTGTTCAGTAAGCTAAGTGAACATGAGGCTTAAAATATGCTGGAAAAGCAACTGACCACTGAACTACGCCCCCAGCCCTCATTTACCCTTAGTTTGGTATGAACAAATCTTTTAAGTTTGCGGATCTCATTCAGGCTATATAAAATTTAAAAGTCATATGTTACTAGGGATGGTGGTGCACACCTATAATCTCAGAACGCTGAAAGTCTGAGGCAGGAGAAGCGCAAGGTCAAGAGCAACCTAGGCAACTTAGCCACTTAGCAAGAACCTGTCTCATGATAAAATGCACTGGGAATGTAGCTCAGTGCAAGAACCCTGCGCGCAATCCTCAGTATGTCCCTACACACACACACACACACATACACACACACACACACACACTCAGAGTATTTTTTTGGGGGAAGAAGAGTCCCATAGAAGCAAGAATGCTTTCCCATCATACATCAAAATCACATACTATGTACATTACCGCTACTCTTATAAAAGTATATTCTGTTTTTATCTGGTTTGAGGTAATGCTTCTTTGGTTTCTGCACTATAAAGTTAATCTTTTTCTCACTTTTCATACAGTTCTCTTTTCATACAATTCTGGAGAAAAGATCTTATGCAGGCATAGTTAATTGTGTTTATTCTCCTTGATGGTGGATTAGCCATACAAATTTCTTGGTATGCTTCTACATGGGATCCTGTTCTCCCTCAATATACTTACGTGTATCTAGATCTATTCTATGCTTTGTGTTATAATTTAATTCTACTTTGTTGACATACTTTGGCTACTTTGACATACCCTCATCAATTTTTGTATATATTTGTATGTGTTAAGAACTTTCCAAATTTTTCATACTACAAGGTTCATCTTATATAAAATTTTTCTTCCCAGCCTCAGCAGCAGGCATTTCTCCAGTTTCTGTTGAGAATGGAGTTAGTACCCAAGATGTGAGTGCTTGGTAATCCCATTGCAACCACAATGCCACTGTTTCTAAGCTGTCTAAACTAAACTTGCAGATCAAGTAAAATATATGTATGCATAATCTATGTACATGTACATATTGATTAATGATCCTTTATGTAGCTATCTCTTATCTTTATTATGCTAAATATAGATTGAAACTGAAGTCTGCAATTCTCAACACATGGATCATTCTTACCTGAGTGCTTTACTTTTCTGTAAATTCCCTCTCAAACAGTGAGATACCTGGCTCGCACAATATTGGCCATCATTTACAAACTTGCTTATTTCTAGTACACATATCTACTGGTTTCAAAGAGGTAATCCTGTTCCCCCGTGGGAAGAACTTTATCAGTGAGAATATAACTCATACATACATTTCCTTTCTTTAGCCTTACAGACCATTTTTATCACAAAATTACTTAACATAGCACCTTATGTCCCACTCCCATTTAGTAGGACTATTTCATACATTCCTAATGTATATAGATCCTTTTCTGAAGTTCTGCATTCCATCCCAGAATTCTGACGTTCCAAATCATTTGTAAATGTTGTATAAGATTTATTTTATGATGCATTTTAAAAAATCTTAAATATTATTAAGATTTATTCTGTGTTCTATAAGTTTCTGTGTTTAAAATATTTAGTAACTTGGATTTAACATTACATTACAGAAGTTATGATACTCTACAAACATGCTCTTGTGCATGGCCTATAGAAGGCTATCTCTAAGCCCCATGAATAAATTTGAACGAATAATTCTATATCATCAAGAGGATTTTTTGTTTTCACTGCTATCCTTTAAATGCAAGATTTATCATTAACTACACTCTGTCAGTTTAACAAAGTTTGATATATAAAGGGAAGAAAAATAAAAGATGATCATATCATCACTTTTGGCTTAAACACACATAACAGATGGGCCAGCCATTCCTATCAAAACATTAAGAAGGATTAGCCTAGAAAGACAATTTTCATATATCATAGTGATTAATCATTAATAACTAAACCTTAATGGGAAAGAAAATATAAACAGCTATCAAAAATTATGAAAATGTTGGATAAGCAAAAGAATAGAATATCTAAGAATTATTTGTGAGCAATTTTTAAATTGATATTTTATCATATTGGCTATTTTAGCAATCTGCAAGATAGAAGTTAGCCTGTAGAGAAGAAAATGATTTGTGTCTCATGGAAGAGATAACCCCACTGATTAATGCTGGTAGACCTGCAATCATTAATGTATCAATCTAATACTAGCACATTTCTGTTATACATAAGATTTATACATACAATTTCTGAAATTTTCCTTAAATTGCTCCTAACATACAGTTCATTAATTAATGAGCATAGAATTCTTTCTATGAGTTTATTTTCTATTTGTAAGGGAGTATTGATTTTACCTTTTTGAAAATTATCCTTTGTCTGAGGGACAATCACTAAAATTTTTTCCAAGTTTGTGGGTTTTCTTTTGACTCTGCTGGTGATTTCTTTAGATGTGCAGAAACTTTTCAGGAGGATGAGATCC